GAAATCATGCTGTATTTTTCCAAAGGTACGAGAAAGAAGGATGACTAATTGTTTAAAAACATACCCTTAGAAACCACACCTTGTTGCAGTCTGAAGACACCCGTGGCATCAGTATTTTGTTATAATATGATGGTGGTGATGATGATGATTGTTTTAATGATGCACATTCTTTATGTAAAGCTATTTTGGGATCTGAGGAACTGTCTGGCTGCTGGCCATTTGTTAATTTTTTGGTGCATGTATGTGTACTTTCTGTTAACATTTTGTTTGATATTTCAACTTTATAAATGTCCTTTTCTCCAGTGTATTTTATAACATCCGAAAGCAGTTGTTCACAGCAAACATTCCTCTTACAGCAACTGGTTGCTTTAGAAATCATTTGTATTGCTTGAGTAAGGACTACAGGATTTAATCCATGAGTATGGGACTGATTCTACCAGTAAGGGGAAAAATATTGATTAACCAATTCTGAGAGGATACGGATAAAAATATTTTACTAAGAGGGTTCTACAAGGTCCTGTGATATGCTGAAGACGTCTTTCATGATGCTGCATGCTCTGAGTTCCTGTTGATAAAATGGGAATTGAAGGAGCATATTACTTCACAGGAGATGTGCCAAACCAGAGCTGTTTGAAAACCTAATAACATTATTTGACAAATAACAGCAATTATTCACTGAACAGAGTATTCAACCAGCTCTATTCAGAACAGGATCACGTTTTAGGAGCAGGATGAATTCAAAAGTACTAAAATTAGTTCACTGACCGCGAAAGAAGTAGATCATGCTTCCATGTAACAAACCTGGAGGGATATTTGACACTTGTATCAATGGATTTTATATGCAAAGAATGCTCCGAATTGATTAATATTCTCCCATGCTTTAGGGATTGACTACAATACACTAAATATGTATTACAAAGAATATAGTATATGGAAAGGGGCCAAAAACTATCTGACAGCAAGAGATTATAGTAAAGTTTTGGAAAAGGAACTATCACTTCTCTCGACAGTGTATAGTGAGACTGGATTCAGTGGATTAGGAAGTAATACAGTTTAACTGTGGCTGGATTTATAAAAGGACTGAATAATTTTCTTAACAATAACAAGATTTGCTATTATGTCCCCCAAAGTAAGAAAGAAACCAAATCCCATGGTTCAGGATGCAGGCTGGTCACCTAATGGGTCAGAAGATAATTTTTCCACTTTGTGTAGCATTGTGCAATTGGTCAGCTCTGTAATAGGATTTTTTCACCTTCCTTTGAAGTATCACTGCTGGAGGCAGGATACTGGATTTGATGGACTAAAGGTTTGGTACCAACTGGAAAATTTTATATGTCTGTGCCCTAAAACACAGGGCATTACATATAGGGCAACTGTATTCCATTTCTTTTCACAGTGTGAAGAGATAATATGATAGTGCAAGGTGGCCTTTCAGGTGTCCCATAACATCAAAATATTAGCTGCAGATGGTGCTTTTAGAGGGGTATGTGTGTGTAAAATCTTAGCTGAATGTAGAAACACACAAAAATCCTACATTCTAGATCAGGCATTTTCAAGAGTAGGGGGCTTCACCCTACAGGTGCAGCCTGCCTGAACAAAATGATAAAAACTCCTGTCACTTTTATGTACATTAAGAAAATGCAAATAGCTGTATTAGGCTTTAGCTGGGCCTGATTTGTGATATCTTTCTCATGCATCCATCAGGGCTGCAGGGACAAAGCAGGGTTTCCCCTTCAGTGGGACCACCATGACAAGTGAGAAAAAGTGTTCGTATGGCACTGTTGTAGCCGGCGTCACAAGATATTTAGATGCCAGATGTGCTAAAGATTCATATGTCCCTTCATGCTTCAACCACCATTCCAAAGGACAGCATCCATGCTGATAATAGGTTCCGCTCGAAAACCATCCAAAGCAGCGTGGACCGACGCATGTTCATTTTCATTGTCTGAGTCAGATGCCACCAGCAGAAGGTTGATTTTCTTTTTTGGTGGTTCGGGTTCTGTAGTTTCAGCATCAGAGTGTATCTCTTTTAAAACTTCTGAAATCATGTGCCATAGTTCATCCCTCTCAGATTTTGGAATTCATTTCTGAGTCTTAAACCTTGGGTCTAGTGCTGTAGCTATTTTTAGAAATCTCACATTGGTACCTTCTTTATTTTTTGTCAAATCTGTAGTGAAAGTGTTCTTAAAAGGAACAACATGTGCTGGGTCATCATCTGAGAAGGCTATAATGTGAAATATATGGTAGAATGTGGGTAAAACAGCAGGAGACATACAATTCTCCCCCAAGGAGTTCCATCATAAATATAATTAATGCATTATTTTTTTTAAACGAGCATCATCAGCATGGAAGCCTGTTCTCTGGAATGGTAGCCAAAGCTTGAAGGGGCATATGAATGTTTAGCTGTCTGGCACGTAAATACTTTGCAATGCCGGCTACAAAAGTGCCATGTGATAGGGTTGCCAGGTGTCTGTTTTTTGACTGGAACATCCAGTTGAAAAGGGAACTTGGCAGCTCCGGTTAGCACTGCGGACTGTGCCGTTAAAAGTCTGGTTGGCGGCACAGCAGGGCTAAGGCAGGCTTCTTGCCTGCCATGGCTCCGCACGGCTTCTGGAAACAGCAGTATGCCCCCTCTCCGGCTCCTACGTGTAGGGGCAGCTGGGGGGCTCCTCACTCTGCCCCCACCCCAAACGCTGGCTCTGGGAACCATGGCCAATGGAAGCTGCGGGGGTGGTGCCTGCAGATGGGACAGCACGCAGAGCTGCCTGGCCACGCCTCCGCATTGGAGCTGGAGGGGGGGCATGCCACTGCTTCCGGGAGCTGTTTGAGGTAAGTACTGCCCAGAGCCTGCATCCCTGACCCCCTCCCACGCCCCAACCCCCTGCTCGAGACTTAATCCCTCTCCTGCCCTCTAAACCCCTCGATTCCAGCCTGGAGCACCCTCCTGAGCCCCAAATCCCTCATCCTCAGCCCCACACCAGAGCCCGCAGCCAGAGTCCTCCCCCGCACCCTAACCCCTTGCCCCAGGCCAGAGCCCCCTACCATACCCTGAACCCCTCATTTCTGCACCCCGGAAGCTGCATCCCCAGCTCAGAGCCTGTACCCCCTCCCATACTCCAACCCCCGTCTCAGCCCAGAGCCCCCTCCCACACCCCGAACTCTTCATTTCTGGCCCCACCTCAGAGCCTGCATCTCCAGCCAAAGCCCTCACCCCCTCCTGTGCCCCAACCCCCGAGCCAGCCCAGTGAAAATGAGCGAGTGAGAGAGGGTGAGGAGAGCGAGGGAGAGACAGGTGGTGGGGGAGGATGGAGTGAGTGGGGGGTGAGACCTCAGAGAAGGGGTGGGGCAGTGGCGGGGCAAGGGTGTTCAGTTTTGTGTGAGTAGAAAGTTGGCAGCCCTACCATGCAAATGCCTGTTCTCACTTTCAGATGACATTGTAAATAAGAAGTGGCCAGCATTTTCTCCTGTAAATGTAAACAAACTTGTTTGTCTTAGTGCTTGGCTGACCAAGAAGTAGGACTGAGTGGACTTGTAGGCTCTAAAGTTTTACATTGTTTTGATTTTGAGTGCAGTTATGTATAAAAAAAATCTACATTTGTATATTGCACTTGCACGATAGAGATTGCATTACAGTAATTGTATGAGGTGAATTGAAAAATACTATTTCTTTTATAATTTTTACAGTGCAAATATTTGTAATAAAATAATAATATAAAGCAAGCACTGTGCATTTTGTATTCTGTGTCGTAACTGAAATCAATAAAATTGAAAAATGTCAAACATTCACAATATTTAATAAATTTCAATTGGTATTCTATTGTTTAACTATACGATTAAAACTGTGATTAATCACGATTAATTTTTTTGAGTTTATCATGTGAGTTAACTGTGATTAATCAACAGCCCTACTTATCAGTGATTTTATATGAGAAGTTGAGGCGCTTCAGAAAGTACATTAGGATTAAAATATATGGTGCCATGTTTCCAAAATTATCAGAATCTCACTGATATGCTGCTGAGATTGAAAAGCTTTTACTTTGGATCATATGACTATCTAAAAGTTTATATTTTTATGAAATTTAGTACATTGTTTAGACAATTTCATGAATATAGGGGAAGTAGTAACTGCTGTGAAATCTGCAAATAATAATATGATCTGAAATTATACCATTAACTATAATAATTTGGGACAATTACTTGTGGCCAAATCTAGTCTTCATTTAGGCAAATCTCCTACTGACTCTGCCTTCAATAAGGACTGCAAGCTATCAGTGAATAGAAAACCACTTTATGCAGGCAGAGTATGGAGGTACACAATACTTAAGGACAATCTGCAGTGTCGAAATATATGGTAATCTAGAAGAAAACAGTCAGATCAATACAAGTCGTCTTTATTCAGTGATGGAATTACAACTTTTGGAACACTAATAAATCTATTTGTAATATATCCACTGGCTAGAGTATGTCATAGCTTTAGAGTGATATGTTTAAATGCTTATAAATTTGTTGGTGCTGTACTGTATTATACAGTGGTTCTCAACTGTGGTCCACCGCTTGTTCAGGGAAAGTCCCTGGCGCACCGGGCCGGTTTGTTTACCAGCCGCGTCCACAGGTTCAGCCGATCGCGGCTCCCACTGGCCGCGGTTCGCCGCTCCAGGCCAATGGGGGCTGTGGGAAGGGCGGCCAGCACATCCCTCGGCCCACGCCGCTTTCTGCAGCCCCCATTGGCCTGGAGAGGCGAACCGCGGCCAGGGGGAGCTGCGATCGGCCGAACCCGCAGACGCGGCAGGTAAATAAACTGGCCTGCCGCGCCAGGGACTTTCCCTGAACAAGCGATGGACCAGAGTTGAGAACCACTGGTATAATACAATAAAATGATTTTTTTTCTGTTGAAAGTACTTTATGTTGAATTCAGTTCTTTCAGTTGAATATTCTTTGCTTGCATTTGACCTTTCTTTATGTTGATTTTGCTTCATTTTTTCATTTACCATGCTGTTCAGTTTTTGGATGCCAGGAGAACAAAGGTTTGTCCTCTATTTGCAGTCAATTTGTTTTGCAAAATTCAGTATTGCTTACCATTTGTTCTATTTTTGTTTGTTTGAGATGCAGTAATCCTGTTTACTAAAGTTGTTCATAGCTTTATTTGCAAAAAAAAAAATTAATTAATCTTTATTTATGGTGAGGGCTATGATTTGCCTTATAGCATGAACAGTGCCATTGAAAAAAGTGGAAGGCAGAATTACTTCTAGTGTATGAAACAACTTAGAAAACAAGGAATACTGCATCTTCAAGCTTTATAGGCACAAAGTGTACTAGTGGTTGTGTCACTTTGAGATTTTTGCAACAGTTCACTTTCTCTTCACTGCCTAGTTTTATTAAGCATTAATTTTACCTGTAACTTCACTATTTTGTGTTTGTGTTTCCATCTATGTTTTAAATTTTTCCAGTAGCAGTTGAAAACCTTCATTACAAGTATTTTGTCACAGATGCATTTGACATTTTTATATGGCCACTTGGTAGAATCATCACTGAGTCTGTTAACTTTTGTACCTTTACCTACCAATAGCTTAACAGAAGAAAAACTACATTTAGATCATTCAGTTACCCTTTTTTTTTTTTTGTATTATAGCATTTGCAACTGACCATCCAGGCACTTCAAGATGAGCTTCGAACTCAGAGAGACCTTAATCATCTTCTTCAACAAGAAAGCGGAAACCGAGGAACTGAGCATTTTACTATTGAGCTTACAGAGGAGAATTTTCGAAGACTTCAGGCAGAACACGATAGACAGGCTAAAGAGCTCTTTCTCTTGAGAAAAACTCTAGAAGAAATGGAGTTGAGAATTGAAACACAAAAGCAAACACTAAATGCTAGAGATGAATCAATAAAAAAGCTCCTAGAAATGTTGCAAAGTAAAGGTTTGCCATCCAAAGGAATGGAAGATGACAATGAAAGAGCTCGAAGGATGGCCGAGGCTGAATCTCAGGTTAATCATTTAGAAGTGATTTTAGACCAGAAGGAGAAGGAAAACATACATCTTAGAGAGGTAAGAAAAGCACCTTCCTCTAAAATCTTTTCAGATAAAAGGACACTGGCAAGGACATTTGTCCTAATTTTGAAAATATATTTTATACTACTTTGAAACTTGAAACTGGAATCTATTTTCTTTTTGACTTTTCTTAAATCAAAAAGGATATTGAAACATTTAATTTCAAATTCTTCCAATCCACAAACATGTAATTCCTCGTAAACGTAAGGAATTACATGGACTCTGGAAACAGGTATAAGAAAAGAAATTAGGTCACGTTTTGGGTTTTCCTGCTTTGATAGTGTCTCTTTAACCACCAAGATGCATTTTCTTTGAAAAGTCAAACTTATGCAGCTATTGAGGAGAGAATGAATACTGATATTGATATTGAAAATTAAATAAGGAAGAGTTGACAAAAATGGAGTAAAATTATGCAAGCTTATTTTTTTTTTCTCTTTGGCTGTCTTGTTCTTGGTATTAACACATGCAGGTTTCTGCTTCTGGGGGGTTGAATCAGACGAAGATCTGTGGCAGATCAAAGCATTGCATGTTGAATGTGAAGTGGTGGGAACTGGCTGGTACAGCAAATGTCTTTGTGATACCCTGCCTTTTCAGGGAGGAAGAGTAAAGTTTTGTTCTCTAGGCATTGTGGATGATAATGCCTTTATCCTGAAGATCTTTCTCAGGCAAAACTCCCATTAAGTTATCCATTAGTATGGTCTGAAGTCAACGGGATATTAAAGGAATTGCACCTGCTTGCATCAGTACTGAATTTGGCTCAAAGTCTGCTAATCTGTGTTGTACTCTATAGGCTATTAATCTAGCTTCCTGGTTTTGATCTGCTTTTGTCAGAATGACCTGTGCTGTTTATTTTAGGGTTAAATGATTTATTCATTTTTCATTGGCACTGTTTGTATCATGGAGCTTAGTATCAGTGTTGTTTAGGTCTGTAAGTAAAGCTACAGTGTATAGGAATGGAATGTGTTTTACTTTCAGGTTTCATATACTGCTTTGTGATGGGAGGTGATGTTTGTTGCTTTGATTGAAATAAGGTCGTATCTTTTTTCTCTTTTTAAAAAAAATATTTATTACCAAAGGTAATTGAACTAATTCTACTCTGAAGTCATAGATGGGGAGTTCTTGTGAACTTGCATTATTTGTTTGAATAATTGGAAGTGCATGTGAGGTTTTGGTCCATTTAGTATAGTCTTCCAGTACTGTATGGTGTGGAAGAACTTTGGAGTTTTTATGGAGAATACTTTTGGAAGCAGTTTGAAACTCTGATATATTATGAAACCAGTGTATGAATAATTTAGGATGTGTTTACATTTTAATCTCTCTTAAAAAGTATTTGTTGTTTGGGGACTTCAACTAAAATATAATAATTACTGTCTTTTAGAGGTTGATCTGTAGAGCCCATGTTTTGTCCCTAGGAATGGTATTTTCTTTTGGAGGCCATCTTGTATACAGTGTCAATCAAACCCTTAAAAGTTTTTTTTTAATTTGTATTTACTTCTGCTGTTTGACTGCTTGATGTTGCACCTGCGCTAAATAAAAGATGAGTGATTCTCTCCACAGCAACAGGTTGAGGTCCTACTTGCAATCATTTGCTTTCTGGTACTATTTAATCCTTTCACTACTAGTTTCTGCACTAGTCTCCATGTGACAGAAGAATGGCATGTTTAAAGAGAATCTCAGTTTTATATGATGTCAACACCCTTCCTTTAGCTTTCTTTTTACTATATGTGACATAAATACAATATGGTCTTCAATGTTTGTTTTAATCATTATGACTGTTCTGGTGTGCCTTAAACACTCCAGCGGCTGCTGTTACCTGTTGTTGATAGAGGTGCAATTCTGCCTCAGAGGTGTGCCCTCTGTTTCCCATAACTGCATCTGTGATTCTTCTTTTACATCTATAAAAATGGTAATAATGTCATCCCTTTCTAGCTCCAGTAGATAACTAGTATTTGCAGTCTGGTGGGTAGTTTCTGTTAGGAGGAGAAATTTCTGATGGAATCAGGTATTTCTTTGATGCAATCCTGTTTTATTTTCAAGGAATGTAAACAAGTCCTGTTTCCGTGGACACAGTAGTTAATAATCAAACAACAAGAGGCAGTTTCCTTCATCAGAATTCCAAGTCTCTTTTCAGCCAACACTCCACCCAAAATACTATCTCTTGGCTTTCTCTCAGGCTCACGCTACGAGTGTTGCTTTTGCTGTCTCCTTGGCTTTTTTTTGTTCCTCTCTGCTTCCTTTCTGATGCCTCTGTTTTCTGTCTTGTAGACACACACAGCTCCAACAAACAATACACAGAACTCTGTGTTTGCATTCAGACCCTAGGGAAAACCTCTCAGACCACATGGCTCAACTCCTATTCTGGGCTTGCCATGCTAACCTGGGATTTGGGCAGTGTTTTGTATTATTTCAGCTATAGCTAAACAAAAGGCATTAATGGCTCCCTCATTTAGGCTGAATGGATGGCTATCATGAAACTGCCCATTAATCAAAAAAATACTCTCTGAGAGCTAGCCAATCTCCAGCATAACAATAATTAAAACTGGTATCTTTAAAAAGAAGATAAAAAATCATACTTGTTACTATTTTAGACATTGACTGCTGATACAGATCTCTCCTGTCCAACTCTGTAGACAGCTGAAGGAGGACTTTGGACCCAGAAATGTAAAAATCATTCAGTCGATGACTTACAGCGATACTGATAAATACAATATCTGTTTTATGCAGTTTTCCATTTTGAAACCCCTTTCATATCTTGAAAATGTTAGTGTTGAAAAATACCGTTAAGTCAAGGTGACCAACTTACTCAATTTGGGTGTGGGGAAAAACTTGATAAAATAAATGAAATCCAAGACCTTATTCAGGCTCAACATTACATTTGTAACTGATGAGAATTAATTTTCAGTTCTCTTCTCATACACTCCATTGTTGGTTCTTAATATAAAAATAATTTTCAGTTGAGTGTTTTAACTCCCCAAAATTTAGTTGGGCATAAACACCGAAACCTTTGGGATCTTAACCGAATCTAGCCTGCTTGTATTTTAATAAAAGGAGTACTTGCAGCACCTTAGAGACTAACAAATTTATTTGAGCATAAACTTTCGTGAGCTACAGCTCACTTCATCAGATGCATGCAGTGGAAAATACAGTGGGGAGATTTTATTTACCATACACATTGTAACGAGAGCGTGCATCCAATGAAGAGAGCTGTAGCGAGAGTGATCAGGTAGCAGAGAAAAAAAACCTTTTATAGTGATAATCAAGGTGGGCCATTTCCAGCAGTTAACAAGAAGGTGTGAGGAACAGTATGGGGGGGAAATAAACAGCTTGAGGCTGGGAGTGGAGGTGTCATTACACAAAGTAAAACTATTTCCCCATGTTTATTTCCCCCCCTACTGTTCCTCACACCTTCTTGTCAACTGCTGGAAATGGCCCGCCTTGATTATCACTACAAAAGGTTTTTTTTCTCTCCTGCTGGTAATAGCTCCCCTTACCAGAAAAAAGAAAAGGAGGACTTGTGGCACCTTAGAGACTAACAAATTTATTTGAGCATAAGCTTTCGTGAGCTACAGCTCACTTCATCATGTTCTCTGTGTATATAAAATTTCCCCACTGTGTTTTCCACTGCATGCATCTGATGAAGTGAGCTGTAGCTCATGAAAGCTTATGCTCAAATAAATCTGTTAGTCTCTAAGGTGCCACAAGTACTCCTTTTTTTTTTGCGGATACAGACTAACATGGCTGTTACTCTGAAACCTTGTATTTTAATGTTCACTGGGTGCCAATAAAATAAAGGGTAAAAACAGGTTGTATCTGTAAAATCCTAAAAATATACATACTTACTTTAACCTTTTGAAATTCCCTTCTCCTAACTCAACCAGATAATGTCCCCTTTTTGTAATGTGTGCTGCCTCTTAAAATAAAGTTCAGGTGTAACTCTGCCTTGTTCCCGGTTTAGCCCAGAAGGATGGTGAAAGTTGAGGTTTCTGGGATTTATTAAGTTGTAGGTCTCTATAACAAGGCACAGTAGGAATATAAGTAGCAGGGTAGATAGATAACTTGCTTCCCACACAAGGCTGAAAGATTTGGAAGGAGCAGGAGCTCTCTTGGTCATTGCATTGAAAGGACCTGAAGCTATATATGGGTAAGAATATGGAAGACACCATTTGTTACTCTGAGGAAAAGGCTTTTTGGACTTATTGGTTTTTGGAACTTTTGCTGCCATTGGGATTTTGTATTGGGAACCCAGAATTGGAGATAGTTTTGGAAGAAGGTAAAGACAGTGGTTTTGGGTGCAGAAGAAGTGTAGGTTTGAGGCCTGGAGTAGGCAACTTCTTACTTTTTTTAGGGCCCAAGGCTGGAACTTCTGAGTAAGAGAGGCCGGAAACTCATTTTCACATATATACTCTCCCCCCATGCCTCTGGGGCAAGCTGACTGCATCCTCTCCAGTGAGAAACCTGTGAACTAGGCAAAGAGTGGAGAAGGTTTGGCGTTGATTTGAGACTTATGATTTAGTCTGTCATTATCTTGGAAGGGGTGGAATTTTGATTTAGCTAGAGGACTAAATTAACATGTTGTTGAGGGAAATTGAGGGAATGAACCACACACACCCCAAACTTCTACTAATTCTCTCTCTTTTACATCAAACAGGTCCTCAGGTTTCTCTTCTCAGTAGGCTCTCCCCACAAATATTTTCTTCCTGTCAGGCCCATTACCTTTAACATCCCTCTGGGCGGGAGGTCATGGACTCAGATTCACTTTTCTGAGTGCTGTATGGCTGCTATATTCAAATTTTAAGTGCACCTGGATTCTGAAGGTCAAAAGTGTCCCAAAGATGTTTCCACTTACTACCGTTCCCTTCAAAGTACATGAGGGTTTGGTTACCTTTAAACAGTTCCTAGACTACATCTGTGTATTGGGATGATGGTTTTTGGTTTGGACTGGAAGTCATACTTGCTGAACATTGCTGAGGGAGGCTGGACTTACATCCAGCACTAAG